ATCCAACGTCGAACACATACCAATTGCTTTCGAAAAGCCACCGATCCATGTTCCCGCATCATCCCTAATTACTCCACCACATGCTGCCAGACCCGAAGCTGACATACCAATTGCTTTCGAGAAGCCACCGATCCTGGAGGTAGAAAGCGTGTTGCAACGGAGACATAGAATGCTCCTGGAGATGGCTCATGCTTGCATCTTGATGGCGAGCCCGACCATTGAACAGTGACGGAGAAGACAGAATGTTTGTTGGTGTCCACCAATGACAGGTTTGTTTAAAGATTAGTACAGATGGGGCATGTAAGTGAACATATTTATCTATTAACAAAGCCCTGTGTTTTCCCTTTTCTATTTCCAAGCTTTGTAGACGTTGAATATCCTCTACCCATTTTCCATCTTGTTCTTTCATCATTAAAAAGCATTAATTTTCATTTTGGTTATAGTTCTGAAAACTATGAGATTTTATATTCGAATCTTATTATACGTTAATATCGTAAGTTTTTTAATTCTGGTTTTATCATGTTTCAAGTCTCATCACGTAGATTATAGCTAAATTTATTCTAATATACTTGGTTATTAATATGATCAGTCTTATTTTTTTCCTTTTTCCTTAGCCACCATTAGCTTTTTTTCTTCTTCATCTTTGTGATCGACGGTGATATTAGTCTTGATGTTGATCGTCGACCGCCAGCCGCAAATATTTATTATTTTTTCTTTACTTTATTATAGTGTATCTTTATTTTTTTTAATAATTCTACTTTTATGACACGTATTCTTATGCTTTTATGAGATTTTTTTTTCTGTCTTTATGACATATTTTCGGTCGTTTGACCGCTATTTTTGTTTATTCATTTTTTTCAAGGTTGGATTTGACATCGCCATGACTGATCAAGATATCACTTTATTTGTTATTATGCTGATATTCCCTGCTTTGGACTCTCGATTGGATTTGGATACACAATTTAAGTTCGTGAATAGTATTTTCACGTCGCTCAATTATGGTTTACGATTTTTCGGTGGTCTTTCAATAGCTTCATATCCTTTTGTGTTTTGTTTGTCGATGCAGTTAGATATATAGGGAAAAAATAGAGATCTTCGCATGGCGTTCATTGACCTTGAGAAGGCGTATGATAGTGTTCCCCGCGATACGATCTGGAAGACCTTGGAAACGAGACAGATCCCAACTGCTTATATCCGGGTGATTCGTGATATGTATTGTAGATCTACTACTTACGTCAGGACTACAGTTGGCGACACCGAGGCTTTCCCGGTGGAAATCGGACTCCACCAGGGGTCGACTCTTAGCCCTTACATCTTTTCCTTGATTATGGACGACATCTATTGTACGACACCAGACGGTGTTCCATGGTGTATGCTTTTCGCTGACGACATTGTCCTAGTTGCTGAAACAAAAACTGAGCTAAATAGTAGACTAGCTACTTGGAAGATTGCTTTGAAAGAAAAAGGTTTAAGGATCAATATTGAAAAGACAGAGTATTTATGTTCAAATTTCAGTGGGAACCAAAACGATGAAGATGGAGAAGTATGCATCGAAGGACACGTTCTACCCTCAAAGGATTGTTTCAAGTACCTGGGGTCTATGATACATAAAGATGGGGGTATAGATGATGACGTTACACACCGTATAAAGGTCATGGGATGGCTAAAGTGGAGGGCTGCAACTGGAGTTTTGTGTGACAAGAAGGTGCCTCTAAAACTAAAGGGAAATTTTATAGAATGGCAATAAGACCAGCGCTGCTGTATGGATCAGAATGTTGGGCAATCAAGAAGGATCACGTAAGGAGGATGGAGGCTGCAGAAATGAGAATGCTTCGATGGACATGTGGTAGGACTCTGTGGGACATGACACCAAACTCTGCAATTAGGAAGTCCTTGGGGGTGATGCTTGTATCCAAAAAATTGAGGGAGGGAAGACTACGGTGGTTTGGACATGTCCTTAGGCGACAACCGTCGGATGCGGTCAGAAGGGTAGAGTCGATTACAGTCGACGGTGCCAGAAGGAGAGGATGACCAAGGAGGAAGTGGGTAGACTGCTTGAGATCTGATTTAAAGGAATTAGCTCTTACCGTGGACATGACCTCTAATAGGAAAGTATGGAGACTCAAGACCAGGGTACCCGAGTAGTGTAGCATCTCTGTCTTCTTTTAATGCCTTTATAGTATCTCCATGACTTCTACTTTTATATGTTTCTGTCATTGGAATTTATGAAGGCTTAGAACTATAACGAAGTAGTGTTGCCTTAGTTTAGGATTTAACCCATTTTGACTTTATTCCTTCTTGTAGCTTGTTATCGCTGACTTCTGTGTATCATTCTCTTCATGTTTCCTCTTTTTAAATTGAACCGGGACTTACGTTTCTGTCTATAAGCAGAGATTTTTACGCAGAGATTTATTTGCAAGGATTACTTCCCATTACAGACGCACATATGAAGACTGTTCAACTGTGTATTTACTGATTTATTTATGCATGCATTATATTTTATCTTTATTTTTAATTATCTTAGCCGGAGGTCTTCCACGGAAGCTGCTCTCAATCTGACGTTGGGGGCAGCCTACTACCCCACCTCCCTTTACCTCATTGTATATGTGAATAGGGTTTTGTTGTTGTTGTTGTTGTTAGTTGCTTCAACAAAAAAGTTATTAATCTAATCATATTTTATATTAATAATTAATTATTATGATAACTACTTAAACATATATTATTTGTACTTATAATTGTATTGATAATTTTTTTAAAAATAAATAAAAGAGATGATTTTTTTAGAAGATTATCATTTCAAACCATTAATCTATGTTAACTTTACCTATAGGATATGGGTACATTTACTTTATTGCCTTAATAAAAAAGAGGAGAAGTGAGATGAAACTTGTAAATAGGGTTTCCTTGTATTAATGTTTGGTATACAGTTACGCATAAAAGACGTGCCAGCAAGCGAATGGGCAGCTAGTATTATGTTTTCAAAGCAACCGATTCTTTTAATGCTTTTATATGTTTAGTCACCTAAGTTTCAATATGTTTTTGTTCTGGTCACCTAATTAGAAAAATAATTTAATTTAATCACTAAACTTTTGAATTTTGTCATTTGTGAAATTAACCTAATACTTTGACATTCTTCTTCCCTAATGCTAGGATTCTTCTTCTTCAATGTTCAACCATCACCGGTCATCGTTTATAACATAATTAATATAAAAAAAATTCATTTCTCCCCATTTTCTTCTTGCCAATTTAATTTCTATGGAAACAGATGGGACTCAAAGCAAAGATTCAACTTTTTATAGGTCAGGTTTACGGGAAATTCTACCATACGGAAGACTTAATATACGGCTAAGGAAAGGCGCTACCGGAAATGTTATTATTTTTTAACATTTCCGGTAAAAATTACCTAAAACATTAATTTTTAACATTTCCGGTAAAGTGCCCAATATAACATTTCCGGTAGAAATAATAATGTTTTAGATAATTTTTTACTGAAAATGTTAAAAAAAATAATATTTCCGGTAACGCACTTATTTAACCGTATATTAGACTGCCGATACTTCCCCAGATTTACAATCCTTGCCGTTGGGTTAGTATAAAAATGGAATATATTATTTTCTCCTCTTTCTCGACATCCTCGCCATTCGTATTTGTAAGAAAATACATTTTAACTTGTGAATTAGAGGGATTTCAAAAATCTGGGTTTAAGAGGAAAATTCTGTGGGCTTTTACAAAAAAAAAAAGTTTAAAAGATATTTATGAAGTAACCACTGATTTATTTAAATGGGCGAAACTTGAAAGTTTAGCGATTAACTTGGAGTATTTTATATTTAAGTGGTCAAAATAGAAACACGTTGAAAGTTGGGCGACTAAACAAACAATTTAGCCGTAATTGATTAATAAAATTGGTGTATTTCAATTTTGTTGACTAATAATTAATTCCAACTTAGGATAGACTTGATGAGTGGAACTGTGTTAGTTGAAGCAGAAAATGAAAAGGCTACTTAGATTAGGAGTTGAATTAATGGTGTAGGCGTGGGTGTTGCTATAACGTTTGAAAGCGTATCATGTGGTTAAGGGAGGATGCATGCTAGGGTTTGGTCATAGAAAACGAAATCCATTACTATTTTTTCTTTAGTAAAAGAAATAAATCCAAAGGACAAATGGGTTGTTTGGGGAGTTAGAAAATGTGTTGAAGAATGGTCTTTGATGGGGACGCGAGAGAGCATCTATAAAGGCAATTTCATTCCCACGTTAGCTTCAAAATTAATGCTTTCCTTTTCTCCATTTTTGTCAAATACAACCACTTTCTTTCTACCTTTTACCATTGTCTTAGTACTTCAAAGTTGAGGACCACCTCTTTGTTTTCCTCTTAATTATAAAGCTATCTTGTTAATATATTTTGAAAAGACCTAAATATAATCTCACGCATCCGTGTACATTAAGCTGCTTAAACTCAGGTTACTAAAGGAGAATAAAATTTTCTTAATCACTGGGACCACTCCAATAGTTGACATCTTATTATTAGATAGTGGAGTTTATAGAGGATCCGCCCAAGATTACTATTTCAGTGGGCTATGTTGAAATCTATTATACCACAAACTTGGGCAAAGAAGGCCTTGGGTTTTCATGGGTATGTATAAGGCTTTTTATAGGGCATAATGCTAGAATTAGCCCCAACATTATCAAAATTATCATTTTGGTTTATTCTTTTTCTGGAGCACTTTGACTCCTAACGATCCATTTTAGGATAAAAGACTCTTATTTTGGAGTGTTAATTATCATAAACTGATAGTTTCCATCCATGGAATGGTCTTTTTACCCAAAACAAAACGTTGGAGGTCAAAATACTATGAAAAAAGAATAATGAGACCAAAATGACAATTTTAGTAAACATTGAGGGATTGTTTTAACATTATGCCTTTTAGAATCATATGGGCTGTGCTTATGATATTTCTGTAGGAAAGATTATACATACAACACAGTATTTATAGTAATATGTAATGAAATGATTTATGCATTAGACTTATAGAGAGCGTAAAATTACATTACAAGTTTGATGAAAACACAAGGTGGCAAAAATGCGGATTTAGAAATATCAGTTTATTTTGTTCCTCTATTCTCCTTGAATATGACTACGGTGACAGCGTAGACGCTTCCTGGGACAAACAGTGCCATTGTCAGGCAAACACTGAGCCAGAATTGCCTCTGCAATATATAAAAAGGGCTTAGCTTCATAAATATTATAACCTCTTAGTTTTAAGATTACTGACATATTGTATGACAAGAAAAGAAAATGAAATTATAAGCACGTTGGATCCAGGGATGGACTAAAAGGGAACGAGCGGGACAGTCAATACTGAAAACTTCAGATTATATATATATTTTTTATAATTTTCAATTGATAAATTGTTTTCGTCCCCTTTTAAAATTTTAAAGTTTGTCAAACATAAGATTATACGTCTGTCCCGAATTGGATCAAATGGTAAGAAGTAGGGACGGGGCCAGGATCAAATATTGGCAGGGGCAAGGTACTTAATTTCAAAAGAATAAGAACTTGCTATGTATTTAATCTAAGAATTTTGGGGGTAAAAGTATAATTTTACTTAAATTTAAACTAATAAGGACATAAAATGCTATTAAACCAAATTTTGAGAGGGGAAAGAGCCCTTCCCACTCCTATATGGCTCTGTCCTCCTGGTCAGAAGCAGGGGCGGATGTATATGGTTTTGACGGGTTCAATTGCATACCCATTATTTTGAAAAAAAATATTAAATCTAGTTTAGTATATTAAGGGGAATGAAAAAAATAAAGAAATTTGCATACCTATTTTTCTTGGAAAATAAAATATTAGAATTTTGAACCTCTATATTTTAGTTTCTAGATCCGCCACTGGTAAGAAGTTCGATGTTCTTTAAGAAAAGATTTCGATGTTGGGAGAACTTTCTCCTCCATGTAAAAGTTCGATTCAAGTCGACTTCAGATATAATCGGAAAGGAACAAAATTGAAGTGGAGAAATTACCTTTGGTCCTCGTTTCCTCAAAACTCCAATAGAAGGCATGGCCAAGGTTAAGATTAAGTCGGAGCAATTGGCATCTCCGGCCTTGCAATTACATTTAGCTTTGCAGCAGTTGCATTCTACACATATGCACATTACTAGAGAGAGATTGAAAGGATGATCGATGAGAAAAGGTCAATCTAGTGCTTTATACATGCACTCGGACTATATGAAGCAGCCGAATGATGCGTAATTTGTGCGATGGAAGAAACCAACCATCTCATGACGCAAATAAGGAATCAATCAAGAAGAGAACTGAGAACGTGTTCCTTCCAAATATTAGAATATGATTATCAGCTTGTGTTCACCAGCTCATTCATCAAGTTTTATTCTACAAAAATTAAGTTTGAGAATAATACACCAGCACTGGTGACAATAATATATATTTTTGCATGAATCTATTGGTGGAAAGCGTGGCTTGAATAGGTTTGGCCATATATTCCTCCATGTTTTCATGTTTATGATGATAGAAATTAGGCTTCCTTTTCTTGCCTTGGGCTGTTTTGTGCAGTTGCTTTCAGTGTCCACTTCGCTTGAGGTGAAAACTTAGTTATCAAGCTGTGTAATGCTATAGATGTTAGGGTTGTGCAAGGAAATCGAGAAAAAAATCCGAATTATATTGTACGGTTCAATTTGGTTCGGAATTTTATTTTACGGATTGTTTTAGACATTTAATTTTATAATTCAGTTCAATTTTTTAATATTAAACTTGTCACTAAAATAAATTTGTCTATTTTTGACGTTGATAATATTATTACTAAAACTCACATTTACGTCACTATTTATATTTTGTGACATAAAATTCGATATCACAACCATTATTACGTTAGGTGTGTCACTATATATCTAGGGTGACATTATATTTTTTATTTTGTCACGCATTATTAAACATATAGTGACGCTAATCCATAACGTCCTTTATAATTTATATTTAGTGACAATTTTTTATGTCTTTAAATGATATAAAATTTCGTTATCAATCATTAATATCCTCACCAATAATATATACTATTTTTTTTAAATATGAAAAAAATATTATAACAACTTTATTAAAAATAATTTTTTTATATAAATAACAATTATGAAACTTAAATAAAGGTCAAACTTCTCATAAGTTACAAAAGGACAAAACTTCTCATAAATTATAGTAGAAAGACAAAATTTCTCATAAATTGTAATAAAGGACATAACTTCTCATAAATTGTAGTAAAAGACAAAACTTCTCATAAATTGTAGTAAAAGACAAAACTTCTCATAAATTACAGTAAAGGACAAATCCTCTCATAAATTATCGATCCCCATATTTTTAAAAATTATAATAAATCTCCATAATTCTGCAAATGACACAAAACAACACTACACTCGGCCCTTGAAACAACAACCACAACATCTAACTCACGACACATAGCCGACATCAAACCATAGCTTTTCGGACACCACCTATCACAAGAGGGTCTTAGCATTGGGATTGTTGATTGAACACTAAAATATCGAAATGAGAAATGTAAAATCAAATCTCTTATTGTTTGGATTTTCAATTTGATGATTCGCACACAAATAAATAGAGAAAAATTTAAACTTTGTAACAAAAAAAAACATGAGTAGCTAAAATATCCCGTGCTTCTTGCAAATGGAAACCAAAAGTGGACAAGTCATCTATACCACCATTAATCTTATTAACAACCATAGTGGAATCTGATTCAGTAACCACTTGAGGCCACTGGTTCTCGATCACAAACTTCAAGCCATCAATAACAGTGTGAATCTTGGTGAGACCTGTCTCCCCAACAGAGACGCCAAAACCATACCTCTTAGAGGTAATCTAGCAGCATCACGAGCAATGACCCCAACTGCAGCAATCCGTCTACGAGGGTCGAATGCTCCGTCCACAGTGATTTTTATAAAGTCCCAATTCGGTGGTCTCCACTGTCTACGAAGATACCTGCAAATAAAGCTGGTTGCCATTTCTCATTCCTCTGACCGTCCTTGTCAATGTTCTTGGCCGTTGAGTCATCATTCGATCGGCAATGGTGCAGGGTAGCTGATCCACTAGCAGCTTGATTTCTGGCTGAAAGGTATTCCCGTTGAAGCGATTGAGAGTTAAGGGCCACAATCCTCGGGGGTTGATACTTTGTTATCAGTTCCAATCCCACAAGAGCTTGAAATGCCTTATATATCCCTTTCCAAGCATAAGAATTTGTAACTCTATTTTTAGCATTAAGAATATCCCCGCTAGGGAAATCTTTTGCTCATAACACACAAGAGAGCATACAATTGGGATATCGAATAAGCCTCCACACCTGTTTACCTAACATTGCCAAACTAAAAGAGTATAAGTCTCATAAACCAAGTCCTCCTAAGTGTTTCAGTTGACAAATCTTTGACCATGCAATAAGAGGCCATCTTCATCTGTGGTCTTTCTCATCCACCAGTAACGTCACATTACAACAGTCATGTCATTAAGCAACACTCCAGAAGCATGTAACAAGACATAGCGTACCAAGGTAATGCATGTGCCACTGCTTTAAGGAAAATCTCTCCACATCCATAAGATATTAATCGCTTTGTCCATCCTTCCACACGTTCAACCACTTTGGTTCGTAGATATCCGAAGGCCTCAGTTCTGTTCTTCCCAATGTATATTGGTAATCCCAAATAGTGATTGTTGTGTACTGTGAGTGCTATAAATTAAGCGAAAATATATGCAAGTATACAATCGAACAAGTAATATAGTAGTGCGTGAGTATCGTCTCACAAGGATTGGAGGGATCTTGAATAAAATTTATGAACTATTCTAAAATAACTAAGTATAGTTACTATGGTATGAACAAGTAGATGAAAAATGAGGCAAAATGAACTATACACAGATGATGTAACACCCATACCCGACCACATAGGATAACCTGGATAACTAAGCGTACATTAGGTTTCGAACTTGTCAAATGAATCAAAAGTAGTAAAACATGCAAGCTAGAGGAAACAATTAAAATTTTGAACATACAATATACAATTTATGGCAGTTGTAAACAATTAATAAATAAGCATCATTCAATCATTTAACATTTCAAGGAAACACTACTAGATCATCATGGTAACTAATCATTTCATAATTATAATCTCCCAAGTTATTTTATGAAATTAGGCTCATTATTATTCATTTACCATTCTTAATTTAAAACATGGAAAGTTTCACATTGATCAAGCATCAGTCGAGGGTCTAATAGAACTTAAAATCTAGGAACCATAATGTAAATTAATCAAGAGTCTCACACGAACAACAATCATAAAATCTACTGTCATATCAGGTGATTTAATACTTTATTGTAAGACCAAAACAAATCTCTTCAATATTCCAATTAAAATATAGTAATAATTAACTAAGTCATTTTTGGACCATTTTAAACATACAAAATCATCCTAGGATCAAATTAAGAGTTAAGGACACTTAGAACCTTTAATGAATTGAATTATTCCATTTTCAGCGATTACACAGCGAAAGGATCTGTAACATCCTAAATCAAGGCTAGTGACTAAAATGGAAGTATTGAAATTTTGAGATATAATTTTTAAAGATTGAAAAGTTTAGGGATTTAATTAGAGAATTTTTATGTTGGATTTTATAGTAAAGATTGAAAGAAAGAAGGATAAAATGGTTATTTGACAAGAAAGATTTTTATCTTTCTTTTGTAGGCTATATAAACGTGGGGAAAAGAGAGAAGTTTCCAGAGAACTCTCAATTCTCTTCTTATTCTTTAGCGTTAGAGCCAAAGCAAAGGTGAGTTTCCTTTTTAGTTGTTTATTTGTTGAATTTAAAGTTGGGTTATGATCCTTGGGTGATAAATAAGCTTAAGAAAAGTTTAGGTTGTCTTAAAACCATAAGATGAAGGAGTTATGAGAGATTAAAGATTAAAAGTTTTTGAATGAAATCTTGGAATAGATTTCATCACTCGAATTGGAAGTTAGATTTGACTTGTTATCAACTTAATTAAAAGATATGAAGTAATAGAATTGAATTTGGAACATGTTGAAAATTGAGTTTAATTCTTGAATTTCATATAGATGATAGGATTTTGAGGTTTAAGAGGTGGTAAATGAGTATTAATGAGTTTAAGCATGTGTATGTTTAGGAATATGTAAGGGATGAAATATGAAACAATTGCACTGAATTGAGTGAATTTGGGGGAAACAGTCTGTTCTGGGCAGGGTGTATCGGTACACATGAATAGGTATCGATACACTAAGATCAATTTTGAAGAATATCTTCATGGTTTATCGATACATTAAGGAGTGTATCGATACCCCCTTGAAACGAAAAACTTCAAATGTAATTTGTGTACCGATACATAGTCAGTGTACCGATACACCAGTGAAGGGATGTATCGATACCCTATAATGTGTATCAATACCCTATAATGTGTACCGATACACTTCAAAGGGAAAATATAAATATATCTTTCCTTTAGTCTAAGAAATGAAAGATTAGAGTATGCCAATTGGAATACTGATATTTATAAATGTATGATTGTGTAGATAGCGATTGAGAGCAATGTCCGAACAATTTTTCAAGTAATAATCATCGAGAAGAGATAAGAAATTAGTATTGACTAGTGAGGCCAGGTGAGTGCATTTTATTTTGATAAAAAAGTATATGGAAATTGGACTTGTGATAAGTCTATTTCCTATAATTATAATGCATGAATATAAGTATGTGAATGACATGATTTGTATGTATGCATGTCAATATGTGTTGATATGTTTTTGTATATGTTATAGGATTTATGTAAAAATACTAATAGGTGTTAATAAGAAAATAAAATATAAACTATATTGTAGACACCAATTTTCGTCCGTATTTTTATGAGTATACTATTATTTATAATACATATATCATATTATTATATTATTTAATAATTTTTTTACAAACAATTTTTTTCTTTTCCTTGTGACAGTCCTAATGCCCCATCTCACCAGCTTTCCTCGCGAAGAAACAACCCGCCGAAGACCTCTCGCCCCACGCCTCATGCAACAAACCCTATTTTCCCGGTGATCTCAAAAACCAACAAAAGCAAGCAATACAGTTTGATTAGGACTCAAAGATTAGTCTAAAAATAGGTTTTTTAGTATTAAATAAGCTTGTAACCTCATTCGAATGAGGGGATGGGACCAACTTTGAAAGAGAGAGTGAAGGGGAGATTTCAC